CCAATCACACCCTAGCCTGCCTCCAGTTTTCCTGACTTGGTCTTGATACTCGACTCAGGTTGGTGAAAGAGGCGAGACAGCAGTAGATGCAGCGGAAAGCTACATCAACTATAAACTAACTCACACGCAAGTCACGGTTTTTTAGAATTTAGGGTATATGATCCCAGCATATGAGCTACTCTTTATTTGCTGTATGGTTTTATTTTAATCGTGGCCTGACTTGTTTTCATCCGGCCACCTCAGATGCTAAGTTGGTAAGTGCTGAGCAAGGGGAAATTTTCAGTTACAAGTTTTTTAAAAAAACAAGTACAAATTTGCCAGTCGGATTCTCTGTGGAAGTCCTGCGTTTTTTCTTTATTTGCTGCTAACTCCCTCCAACCTCATTGATTTTCTACAGACTAAAGAACTGGAAAAGCATTTATGGAGTCTTATTCATACAGCTGGAAGCGCAAAAAGTGCTCAAGAAGCCATGGACAAGCTCAGAAGAAAACAAACTAGTCTCGAGGGACGTCTAGTTCACGCACTTAAAACCTACAATGAAGCGCTGGGAAAAAATATGGGTAAAACTTTTTGCCTACAATTTGCAACGTACTTCAGTTTATTGATCGAGCCAATTCGTTATTTTGCATATATCTGACTTCGTAGAGAAGGCGTTTTGTTACTTTCTTGGCGTGGTGCGTTTCCAGCAGATTTATAAATTATTTATGAGCATCAATAAAAGGGCCAAGCAAACACATAAAACATTCTTTGGCCGATAACAGATAAACAGAAAAGATTTAACGATAGAGAAAGATGCCCCTGTTTGCAATTAAGACCATACCTACCATTTAGTAACTTTGTCAGCAAAAGTTTACTTTGATCAAGGCAGATCAGTATCTACATATCGTTCAATCTACATTTTTGCTTAGTTTGTTGTTTTCGTAATTCCAAGTACAATCGTCTGGTTCGTAAATCGAAATAGACGGTGTTTTGTTTGCAGATGTAGTCATTTCCCATAATCTCTCTCTCGCCATAGAAAGACCTATTTCGTTGTGATATATTTTAACTGGACACGTGTTAGGTACGCTGACCGAACAGCCCATAAATTTGCGTTAGCCGGGAGTGGACTAATGATACATGAGAAACCAGCTATTATAAGAGAAAACCTACGATACTTTGTGGTCATGAACTTTCCCACAGAACACACTAAGTTAAAATATCAAGGTTATTTGGCAGCTGCCCAAGTAACGACTGAAAGCGTATCCATTAGACATGAAAACGTTGGAACTTTTCTTGCTTATAAAATGTGAATTATATCGCATGACTATGTTGTGAGCAGAAAAGCACGTTTTCCTCAGACTCGTATTCGTAACATTTATAAAAGACAAGAGGAAAGGGACGATAAGCTAGGCAGCCCGACTTCCAAGGAAGTAGGAATACCTAAAATGCATTTCAGATACCTCTCCGAGTTCACTCGCAAATAATTAAGCGTGTATCGACTTGCTGCATATTTGCATTGTAGACAGTCAGCCGTCAAGATTTCTATTGCGTATTGCCTGATTAGCAAGTAGGTCTTCTGCTCGACATGCAATTAATTGCACACCTGAGTGTCGAGTCTTCTGCTGCTGACGGTCTGCCTTAGTGGATGATGACTATAATGGCCCTGTTTTGTGTGTGGGATGGCCGTCCCAGAATTGTTTGATCGGTGGGCTCCGGGTGTTCTGCCATCTGCCACTCCCCCGCCCTTTTCCAGTGACCACTAGCCTGTGGTGCGCTTTGTGTCCATGGTATGAGTAACGATTTGTTGTAGCTTGTAACCATTTTGTGCTCCTGTTGTCAAAGTGCACACTGATACTTTTGTTTTCCTCGGTCCAGTAGCCACCTGCTTGGGCTTTCTGACATATATTAAATAAATGTATTTGAATAGGTAAATTATTAACTTTTCCGATATTCTAGTAGTTCAAGGGTGGACCTGTTTGTCTATTTTTCGCATTTTATTACGTGGATGGAGGGTCAGCCACACCAATTCTCGATAATCCCCCCAGCTTTATATATTTGGGTTTATCGCCAATTATTACTCACTCATTAAAGATGCAAGGGTTTTGCTATATTTTAAACGTTCTATGGCAAGTCCTTCATATTTTTCAATTGTTTAAAATCGTCAGCGTTCCTGCTATTGGTACCATATAGTTTAATTTCCTGAGTTAGTTAACGGAGTGACTAAAAAGTCATAGAGATTATATACTTTACGAAAATCAGCTGAATTAGGCTGCGACACATCATGAGCCAACCTATTCAAACCATTTACAGCCAGCTCATTAAACCATGGCGAAAGTCTGGGTCTTTAGGGTTCGCGCGAACGCACCGTCCTTATTGGCTTCTGACTATCCCAAGACTATATATGGGTAATTTATCGAACCCAGTCGGGTTTATATTAACATTTTAAATATTTATTTATGTGGATAGATAATCATCTCCTAAACAGGCCTGATGCGATGGCAGCACAATCCGAATTACTTAGATGCCTTATGATTTCTACGCGAACCGTTCTTTTTTGCTTTTTTTGTGTCAGCTCTTCGAGCCGAGATTGACACCTTGAGAATGGAACGTGGACGATTCGATCTGATTTACAGAAAACTTGACGTGACACTAACAAAGATGCGCACGGAGATTAATCGCCTGACACAGGTTACTACACAGGCCTACGACCAAAGGTACCAGACCACTGTTTGTAATTAATTCTGCTGACAATTTTTAGCTAACGCCTAAACATCGTAATGGCGTTTGTTACTGGTGACAGCTGTTGGTTCGGTTGCCATGGTAGGTACTTGTCCTGGTTATGAATCTACTACGCAATCCAAGTAAAAGGTGTCCGAGTTTCCCTACTAAACGGCCATTGGACAGAAGGCTAATGTCAAGCAAAAAATGGGATTATTTTAGGACATTTTACCGGAAAGACAGAGACTCTAGGAAGGCCTTTTCTGGCTTATTTGCCATCGTCAGCTAGAGATACCCTGTAAGTAACATTACAATTAGCCATGTGGAAATGTTTTTGAGTGCAAGGACACACAAGGACATCAAATACCAGGTCGGGTGTGCCCTGTAACTGATCGGTGTACGCCTATCTACTAAAATGGGAATATATCAGTCTCCTTCTGGTGGGCTTTATAAATCGTACACCAGCTACATGAAATGTCTAACCAGAGAGGATCCGGGCCTGTCTCCGTGCATCCTACCATGTATTGCTACACGAAGAACTTTGAAGTTTTGAATAGGTTGTTTAGACATCTTACTTTCCGGAGCAGTTACTGACAAACTGAGTCCTGTGGGGTCTTTTAATGATCTCTCCTAGCTGCAAGACGGAACGAAGGAGATCACACAACGAATAAAATTAATGATTGCGAAATTTTACCGAGAAAGAGCGGAGCACTGCAGTGAACATTTTAGATCTGTTTAACGTTGTATCTCAGTGCTACCTCAAATGCAAGTGGCCCTGCGTTAATTGAATGGTAAAGTCCAATACTTGCAACATCTCAGCCTCGATGGGCAATGATGAGGAATATGCGCTAATAAAATTGGAATTCAGCGCTTTGTCTTTTACCCTTTTTGCTTATTGATTGCCAATTGACTCCGTTCGAACGGGGCTTTAATCATCACTGTTCGATGACGGAAAATAGTCAAAAAGTGCTATTACGATATCACGTAGCTTTGTGGACAAAACTACGTCGTGTTTGCGTTGGATGGCTTTTGGCTGGTACATTACCGACAAACACAAGGGCGACTATAATGGTCATTTTTGCTTATTCACCGTAATCAATTGGCCATACCTGACCTCAGGTTTCGCTATCCCCAGGGCACGAACTCGCGAACTTTTGGTTAGAAACCCAACCTAACCATTATTCTGACTATATTATTATCCAAGTTGCGGCTACTGGTGGGGCCCGACAGTGGGTCCCAAGGCACAGCGTCACGAATATGTCCCCTAACGCAATCGGTGAGCTTCCCTCTGTCCTAATACAGTGAACTTCGGAGGACCGGTAACTTCAAGTTCATAAGCTAAATTGAAATAAACAGTTTGGCAGGTGTCGATTTTTCTTTTGTCCAGTTGATCGGACCAAGTTGCTTGCGTGCATT